GGCAGGGGATCAATAATGATCATAATTATGACCTTATTTATAGATGTAATCTATTCTATATTCAAACCTTCCATTTGAAGCAGTCGTAATTGATTCTAATTACAAACTTTCCATTTGTGATGATCGTAATTTATTCTACTTTCAAACCTTCCATTTGAAACGATTGTAGTTTATTCTAATTTCAAACCTTCCGTTTGAAATGATTGTAATTTATTCTAATTTCAAACCTTCCGTTTGAGATTATAATAAATCTATCCAACGGATAATATTTTATCCAAATACTACTGCAACTTAGGCCATATACCCTGGTTTAATTTGGGGTTGCACAATTTGGTTTTTCTCGAGACAGAGAAAATAGCCAAAATATTAACCAAACCTCATATACAATAAATTAATAATATTTATTTATTTCTTCCAAATTAATCTAACTATTTTGGTACATCGGCCCGTCGCATTTTCACTCACAAAATAATCGATTTAAAAAATAACCAATTATTCAACACTTTGTCCCACATTGGAGTATGTTAAAGTTGAAAGAAAAATTATTGTCCCGCATTGCTTGTGGTGACTAATTAGCCTTAAGTCATCTTCTATAAATTGGTAGTCTTAGGTTAGGTTTTGAGACATACAAAATATTAGACAAGTAGTATTTCCATATATAATTGTGGGTTACTTGTTTTGTCTTGAGGGTGTTTTGGGAGATGTAGAGTTGTGGGCTTTAGAATCGTTATTCGAGCCTATTTTGTATTCTCTCTTAATAGTGAAAGTGCGCCCCACCTTTGCCCGTGGATGTAGGTTATCTTGACCGAACCACGTATATCTTTGTGTCATTTAAATTTCTTGTTCTTATTTTTGTTATTATTAAGGTTCTGAAAATATTTGTTTGGGGCCATAATCCTAACAAACTGGTATCAAAGCCCTTTTTATATTTGTGGGAATATTTTGTTACTACACAATGACAATCACAAGGGCGGTTGTGGAGAAGTTTGACAGAAATGTCAACTTTGGGATGTGGCAGCTCAAGATGGAGGCCATTTTGGTCAAATGTGAAGTTGATTTGGCTATCTAGAGCATGGAAAAAATGCCAAGGATATGAAGAAGTCAAAATTTTTGGAGTTGGATAAGAAGACCCCGTTCGAGAATTATCTTAAATCTCTCTGGTGAGGTTTTGCGGAAGGTTTCTACGGAGACTTTGGCTAAGGCAATATGGGATAAGCTTAAAGCTTTCTACATGAAGTCTATTGAGAATCTCTGTACCTAAAGGAAAGCCTTTATATGCTTTGAATGGCGGAAGGTACATCATTACTCTCCCATCTTAATAATTTTAATTCAATTATCATGGATTTAAAAAATATTGATGTTAAGATAGAAGATGGGGATAAGGCATTTCTACTTTTGTGCTTATTACCCCAATCTTTTAAGAATTTTGGTGATACCATGATATATGGAAAATAATTTATCTTTTATCAAGAAATCAAGTTTGCCTTGACATTTAAGGAGCAAATAGATAGAGGTATCACTGGAGACAATATTGGGGTTAATGCTGAGAGCCTAGTTGCTAGAGGGAGATCAAATAAGAGAAACTATGACAATAGTAAATCTAGACCGAAGTTTAGACATCGAAATATGAAGTGTAACTATTGTCATAAGATGAGGTACATTAAAGTTGCTTGCTTTAAATTAAAAAATAAGCAAAAGGAAAAATCGGTTGAAAAAAGAGATAACACATTTGAAGCTAATGTTGCTTCTGATGACAATGAAGGTAGTATTTTTTTTTTTTTTTGTCACTCATAATAGGGTGCGATCTACAGATGAGTGGATTTTGCATACAAGATGCTCTTATCATATGTATCCCAATAGGAATTTGTTTGCTACTTATGATTATATAAAACGTGAGTCTTATTTTCTTTCCGATGATTTGCACATGTTTCTTTATATGTCCATAGGTGACACTGTTGACATAGTAAGGGTTTTTGTTACATTTGTTACTGTTCCGGAGGCTGCGGTTATTCTACGGACAACCTCCGGAGCACAAACACTAGGTGAGGTTGTCCGCGCGGAGCCAATCGACTGGACATTTAAAGATGTACGCAACCACGTTTACAAGATTTTCTATTGGATTACAACTTAACTATCTCACAAATAAATTCTTATATAATTTTGCACAATGTTGGTAGCTTGTTCGTCGCCTGTAACTACGGTGTACGGCCACTTTGACGGTGCATGGGGCGTTGCAGCATGGCACGTGATTCTATGATGATTGACGTTTGTTTGTGGATTGATGCTAACTGAGTCCTTTATGTTGGTTGAACTTGTTGTTTCTGCTACATTTTGTGTGTTTGTTGCTACGCTTTGCCATATATGTTAGGCTATATTGCGAAATATTTATGTTTCTACACAGTGCGTACTTGCTACAACTTATGGTGATACATAATTGCCGTAATATTTCCATATTTTGTAATGTCATTTGGCAGTATTTTCTCACATCGTACAGGTTTTTCGTTCCCAAAACCATTTTTTTTAGGTTATTATTGAAAAAATAAGGAAACCTTTTTCGATACAATAAATTGGTCGTTACAAATACTGGTACAAAAAATATTAACTAGGTTTCTGGAAACCAAATATTGTAACGATTTACTACCGTAACAAAAGCCGTTACAAGTGGATAAGCGTTTATTGTAACGATTCTTTTATAACGGTAAATGGCCGCTACAAATAAATCGAAAGTACAATGATAGCGTTACAAACACTGTTACAATTAATGCGTTGACTACCAATTTTTTGTTGCGAAAAAAGTCGGTACAGAGACTTTTTGTAACTCGAGTATATGCACCGGTCAAAATTCGGTACAAAATCATTACAAATAGCTTTTTTGTATCAAAAAAATGGCCATTTGTAGCGGTTATTGAAACCGCTACAAATGGCCATTTTTTTGGTAGTGTCATGAGATAAAATAAAGATATTAAAAGTTGATGTCTCTGTTTTATATAAAAACCAATGCTAATGCCAATAAAATTAAAATATGTCCACCATTATAGTATGGATAAATGTAAGAGAACCCTGAGCAATGAAATAGAAATTGTAAGTAATTTTTTTCTCAACTATAAAGCAATATATATATATATATATGAGAATATGCATCTTGATAAGTAGTAGTTAATGATAATATATTGAAGACAACCTTGAACCCCAAAACAAAATAAAACCGCAATAATTCAGTCACATAATTAACATTCAGTATCAAAGTTAATTATTAACCCCTATATGCATAGGTTGTATCCGATTGTTTGATATTTTTTATAGCAGTGAAACAAGAATGGAGGACAATGACACATGGAAAGGGTTTGTCTCCAACTTACCATTACAATCCGTGCAAATTGTAGCTGTGAATGAATTTCCCAACTAAGACAAAATTTATAATTAGCAGCAAGTTCCAAATTTTCATAGACTAGAAGGCAATAGCTAGACAATTATTATATCTAGTAAAAGTTCTGAAAATAACCAACTCAAATTAATCAATGAAAGACTTAGAAGCAGTTGAGGTATTTTGACGAGCAGTTGGCGGGCGCGCGTGAATTGGAAGGCACATAATCAGCAAAAGAGGGACACGGGGAAGACGAACCAGGATCCATGGGACCCAACCTCGATCACAGGACACCAACTTCATTCCACAAGCCACCTCAACCAAGCCAGCACAACCCAAAAGAATTTTACAGACATACCAAAACACCGAAACACTACAATACTTACAAAAACGATGGGGGAGACCAGATGGGGAAAGGGAGAGCAAAAAACCGGCACAATAAGCTGGCGCCAGCACCAGTTGACGATAGGTGGACGGAAAAAAAATGCTGCGCAGCCAAGATGTGAATCACTTGAATTCTAGGGAGAGACCGAAGCGAAGCGACACAACAGGGTACCCAAAGAAACACAAGGGTGAGCCTAGGATTATCTTTCGGACTGACAACGGCCAGCCATCACCGGTCGAACCGTGGCCGACAGCGAATCTATTGTTCAATGAGGGTTAACGAGGGATGGTTATCAATTTGGGGAGAAATGAACATCGAATTATGTAAAGTGTTCAGATGTTGTGTGTATATCCGATTTATGAAAGTGTTATCACGTCTTAACGTATTTCTTTTTAGTTTTTTTTTTTAATTTTATTAAAAATATTATAGATGTATATATATAATTTTTTATATATAAATATTTTTTTTTCTTTTGTTACGGTTTGACCTACGTAATAAATATATTTAGGACGATATTCATTATGATTGTATTTGTTACAAAGTAATAAGCGAAACAAATACAAATAAAAGTTGACCAAATATAATTTTTTTTGTCACGATCATTTTCGTAATAAAAACTACTTTTTGCTACAAATTTATTGTTACGGACCATAAAACTGCTACAAATAGACAATTTTTTTTTGTAGTGTTACTTTAATACAATAACTTAGTTACAATATTTTAATGTTTTTGATATATTAATAAATGATTTGAAACTAATGCAGGAGTTTTCGAGTTTATTGGACACGTAAAACAAAAAATATTTGAGTCCGACTGGACGGTTAATCAATATATATCATTTCATACAGGAAATAAATATTTAATTTAGTATAGACAAGTATGGCTAAATTTGTCAATTAATCTCGCGTTGTCAGTTATACTAAGGATATTGGGTGTTGTTGAAGTTTGTGTTTTTCCATTTCCATTTGTTATTTTGTAGTGATTTACTTGTAGAAAATATATTGATATGAATATCATTTTGTAGATGGTAACATTTACTTTAATACAATAACTTAGTAACAATATTTTAATGTTATGATATATTAAGAAATGCATTTGAAACTAATGCAGGGGTTTTCGAGTTTGTTGGGCACGCAAAATAAAAAATATTTTAGTTTGACTAGAAGGTTGATCAATATGTATCATTTTGTACATAAATTCAATATCTAATTTAGCTAAAATTAAATATTTAAATAATACATAAATAATATCTAAAAATATAATTCAAAAAACGCATCAATTCATTTAACTTATACACCAAAATAATTACGAAATATGCTTAAAAGTTAATAGCTTAATAGTGCAGGAAATAATGAGAGCAGCTGAGAGAAAACAGAAATTAATGGGAGCAGATGAGAGAAAGCAGAACTAAATGCAGGAGCGGGGAGAATCTGGCGGATTTAATGCAGCCGACTAGCCGTCGCTTGAATTCCGCACAGCAGCAGACCAACCATTGCTTGATTTCCGCACATGACCAGCCATCGCTTGAATTCCGCACAGCAGCCAATTTTGCTTACCTCTATGCAGAAGTTTCTGTGCTGAATGAATGTAGTCGAACCAACTATAAATGCTTCCGCTGGTTTATGTGCAAAGTTAATACAACAGTCATTCAATTTATAATCATTGTACACGAATTTTTGCACTAATTAATACAAAATGGATATTTATTAAAATTACATAATAAATAGTTAGTAAAATAAAATATATTATTTATTTAAAAATATTTATTACGCCAACATTAAATATTTTAATTATATTTTCTTATAATATTTAATTTAGCTAAAATTAAATATTTAAATAACATATAAATAATGTCTAAAAATATAATTTAAGAAACACATCAATTAAATTAATTTATACACCAAAATAATTATAAAATATACTTAAAAATTAATAACTTAATAGTGCTGACCAAAGTAAATGCAAGAGTTGGGAGAGTCTAGCGGATTTAAGGCAGCCGACCAACCGTCGCACTATAAGAAAAAATTATTTTTGTAACAAAATATTTTTGTCTCTAATACTACTTTTTCCGTTACTAATGACATTAGAGACGGAATTAGGAATGAAATTATGTTAGCTACGTGAGCTTTAAGGACGAAATTCCGTTACAAATATATTATTTTTTTGTAGTGTCGCTTGAATTCCGCCCAGCAGACAATCAGTCGTCGCTTGAATTTCACACAGTAACCGACTTCGCTTACTTCTATGCGGAAGTTTCCGCGCTGAATAAATGCAGCCGACCAGCTATAAATGCTTCCGCTGATTTCGGTGCAGAATTAATATAGCCGTCATTCAATTAATAATCATTGTACACATATTTTTCACTAATTAATAATATTTATTAAATAGACACAATTTTATAATATAATTCAATAGGAGAGAACCCTTTCAATGTTATAATTGGTCGATGGTGAGTTCATTTGTCCCTTGGTCATTACTCCAATTCCCTAAATTTGTAATAGTGAATTTCATGTCATTGTGTGGATTACATTGTAAAAAGAAATATATCAATATATATTATTTAATGGTGTGTCAACGTACCATGCTACACGCCAATTCGTTAAAAATTTAAAATATATCAATATATATCATTTTGAAAAGAACAATTTTTTAATAATACTGTTACGTATGAAATTTAGAATTAGGTTAAAACGTCCAAGGTAAAAGAAAAAATGGGCCTGGTAATAGAGTTGATCGAACTGGCTGAAGGGCACCGTGGGGAACTCAAGGAAAATACATTAATTTCTAAGGAGAATGCAGGGCGGAAGGGCCTCAGGTCGGGAAGTCCTCAGGTCGGGAAGTCTTCAGGTCGGAAAGTCCTCAGGTCGGGAAGTCCTCAGGTCGTAAAGTCTTCAGGTCGGGAGATCCTCAGGCAGGATGTCCGTAGGTCGGAAAGTCCTCAGGTCGGGAAGTCCTCAGGTCGGGAAGTCCTCAGGTCGGGAGGTCCTCAGGTCAGGAGGTCAGCTCGGGAGGTCCTCAGGTCGGGAAGTCCTCAGGACGGAAGGTCCTCAGGTCGGGAGGTCTGCGACTAGACCAGTAAGTCGGATGGTCTTTAGGTCGGGAGGTCTGCGACTAGACCAGTAAGTCGGATGGTCCTTAGGTCGGGAGGTCTGCGACTTGACCAGTAAGTCAGATGGTCTTTAGGTCGGGAGGTCTGCGACTGGATCAACAAGTCGGGTGGCCCGCAAGTCAGGAAGATTGGTAGTCGGGCCAATAAGGTGGAAGAGTAGTGTTCGGACCAAAAGGGCGGAAGGTCTGCGGTCGGTCCAAAGAGGCGGATGCTATTAAGAGTGGAATAGAGTGATAATGGTGGTCTGCTGAGGACACGTGTCAGCAGGAGAAGGGTTGGCAGACGGTTGAAAGGGAGACGTTGTAACCGTTCAGGCGACGGTTTCCAGTACAATTTCTTAGGAAGTATTTAAGGATTTGGATTTTTCTTGAGAAGGCATCTTCAATCAACTTCAACAAAGCAAAGTCAGATTTGGGGATCACCACTTTAAATTTCCAGCATTTTATTTTCAAGTTAATTTCTTTATGTACCGAACAGTGTTTAGAGATTCCTAATCTCAGGCACTAATTAATCAAGTTTAAAGATATTTTCCATATCTTTGAATTTTACTTTTTGTTTGTTGAAAAAATACATCAACGCATTGGCGACCACAGTGGGAGAAAAACAAGATTGCTGATCCTACATTACCAGAGAATTTCATACAACTGAGGTCTAGCCGAATCATCAGAAAAATCAGTATGGCAGGCTCACAACCTCAATCATCATCAGCACCGATGGGAGAAAATGTTTCACCATCAGTTATGCCAAATCCAGGGGAGATTCCCCAACCACCTATCGATTGGTTGTCTTATGTTCAGCAAATGAACAATCAGCAGAATGTGTTTATGCAGAACATGTTGCACGAGCAACAAAATCTTATGCAAAACATGTTAGATCAAGCTTTGTCAAGGGTTACTTTTCAACCGACTCAGACGCCGCCAGGGGTGTCACCATCAAGAATGCAAGCGAATTTTGCAGGGCCATCATATGTGGACAGTACACTTCCAAGCGCCACAAATTTCAACCGAATAGATAGGAGAAAGACTCCTCTGACTTTCCCAAATAATATTCTTTTGGGACCAAGGTTGAAAATGTGCAACCGAACATTTCAAGAGAGGAAAGGCCAGGGGGACATGTGCAGGATCCCATTCATATTCCTGTGAAAAATCCCATTGATGTTCCTGATCATCAACAGTTTCATTTGGGTGAGGAAATTGCTCACGTATTGAGGGTTTTGTTTGGTCTAAATCCTCAGATGGCCAACCGACCTGCTTATCAAAGATGATTTCCCGAAAAGATTATTAATGAATATCCTCTCCCAAGGAATTACAGGCCACCAGATTTTCATGCTTTTTCTGAAGAGGATGGGTCATTCACTATAGAGCTCGTGGGGCGTTTTACAGCGCAATTAGGGGAAATTGGTAACAATCCTTTTTACAAGTTACAACTGTTTGGATTGTCTCTTACAAGGACAACTTTTTCATGGTTTGTAAGTCTGCCACCTGGGCAAATACAAACTTGGGAAGGTTTAGAAATGGCGTTTCATGCCAGATTTTTCAACCCCCTGCCAACGGTTTCTCTGACTGATTTATTGAAGATGAAACAATATCCAGAGGAATCAGCTTCACAATTTATTGAGATGGTGCGATTAATGAAGGGACGATGTCCTACTATAATCAATGAGAAGGAGATGACCAACTTAGTGGTCCGAAATATGCATGGTCGCCTAAGAGATGCGTTCACTGCACATGATGTCGAAGATTTGGCAAGCCTCGCATCCAAGGTTGGACGTTTAGAATCTCTTTTCAGAGAAAGGGATCAGAATTTCAGGCGTAATAAAGGCCAACATATGGCTAGTATGGAATCAGAGGCATACGATTTTGATTATGATCAAACAGAAGAGATGACGGCCAAAATAATTTCAGGGAAACCTTATGTTTGCTCTAAATTAAAACCAACACCAGGAGCAGAAATTAAAGGGCAATCAACCTTTGACAGTTCAAAGGCCGACAAGATATTTGACATTCTGTTAACCGATGGTCAGATTCGAATTCCTAAAGGGCAGAGGTTGGCTACTAAGGAAGAGATTAAAGGGAGGCCGTACTGTAAGTGGCATAACTCCTTCACACATAATACAAGTCAATGCAGTCATTTTCGAAATGAGATTCAAAAGGCTATCAAGGCAGGACGGCTCAAGTATATTACTTTGGGAGTGGAGCAGCAACCATTTCCAAAAATAACGACAGCGATGGTTAATATACAAGCAACTCCCATAAAAGAAAAAGAGAGTTCATCAAACAGTGGCCGAACAGAGGAGAAGCTCAAGGTCTGTGAAAAAATGAAAAATGGGATAACCAAGATGGTTCTTTTAGTGTGGAATTAAAGGACCAGGTTGTAGTTCGGGACCACCCGACCAGGAAGACGGGTGCGGTCGGAAGCAAATGGACTCGAAATAAGAAACCAGTACCAATTGATGTGGATCCTCGCTTCCCAGGCATGAATCGTACTCAGATTCGGAATGCCAAACGCAGATATGCTGCAAGATACAGAGACAAGGTCGCCTCATCAAAGCAACCGAATGATACCCCGAGGCGCTGCCCAATATTCTGAGGGAGGTCGGTCCATCAGGGTCGTCTCGTTTGAGCAGCCGAATAAGGCAAAGGAAAGTCGGCTCAGCAGGGTAGCCTTATCAAAGCAGCCGACCAGCGTACAAGACATTGCTAATAACAAAGAGGGAGGTCGGTCCATGCAGAAGAAGGGTAAAGACCTGTCTGATGAAAGAGTTAAGGGTTTCAGATGTCAATATTGCGAAAAGGTTAACTTTAACCCATCACTAGAGGAATTTTGCTTGGAATCTTTGACTGTTCAACACAAAATGGAAGTCGGAGACGAAATTCCAGAGAAGGATTCAAGGTCTGTCAAATCTCGACTATGGCCACGTATTCCTTGCCGAATGACATAAATTAATTGGGTTGAGGAAGAACCTTTGTGGGCAAATCTGGTGGATGAGTCTATATAAGAGCCAGAATGGGCAAAGATTGCAAACCCTGACTCTCAATCACAGGTCCCTCCAATTGTCTTCCCTCCTATTCCATAAGGCATGGCGTCTCATCTGAAGCCTCTGTACGTTAATGCTCATGTTTGTGGGAAACCAATTACAAAGGTTTTCATTGATAACGGGGTCGTTCTCAATGTAATGCCATTAAAGACTCTCAAAAAATTGGGGAAAGGGATTCATGATCTATCTCCTGTGGATTTTGAGATGACTAGCTTTACAGGGCAGCCGACCAGACCAGAAGGCATGTTGGTCGCTTCCATTGAAGTCGGTCCAAAGAAGATTTCTTATGTCTTCTTCGTGGTGGATGCAGACACCACATATTCAATCATGTTTGGACGAGATTGGATTCATGCATGTAAATGTGTGCCATCAACACAACATCAGCAATAGATGTTCTGGGAAGGCAACCAGGTCTTCAAAATGGAGGCAAATGACAATCCTTTTGGAGCATCAGAACAAGTTGAAGAATCAGTTTTCTATTCTGGTCATGTACCTCCAATGTATCAGTTTTTTATGGCTAATGACTACCCAAAAAAGGGTTTTAAATTCATTGGCCAGAATTCAATGTCCTTTTAAAAGAACAGCGGTACTATATGGCTCTTTAGTAAGCCAAACCTACTCTATATAATACCTTAATTATGGAAGAAGCAGAATTGCAAGATTGTAGTTTACTTATTAATAAGTATTATTTAGATCAGTTTTTTAAAAAAGTAGAAAAAATAAAAAAATGTGATGTTCATTTCCAAGAAGATGAACAATTTCGTTGGCCTGATCTGTTAGAAAAAACGGAGCCAACTTTTTCAGCACAAGACCCTTTGCTGGAATTTAATTTAGGAACCGACTTGGTTCCAAAAATAATCAGAATGAGTGGTTATTTGTCTAAAGAGCAACAAATATTGATGCTCGAAGTTATAAGAAACAATATTGAATGTTTAGCTTGGGACTATTCAGAAATGCCTGGTCTAGAGCGAAGTTTGATAGAACATCGACTGCTCATTAAGAAGGATTTCAAGCCCTGTAAGCAATTTCCAAGACGTATGAGTCCTGACTTGATGCCTCAGATTAAAGAAGAGATCCAGAAGCTTCTTAAAGTGGGTTTCATCCGACCTTGCCGTTATGCAGACTGATTGGCCAACATTGTACCAGTGGTTAAGAAAAATGGTAAGATCAGGATATGCATTGATTTCAGGTATCTTAACATGGCCACCCCTAAAGACGAGTATGTGATGTCTATAGCCGACATGCTAATTGACTCAGCAGCAGGGCACAAAATTCTTAGTTTGATGGATGGTTATGCAGGATATAACCAAATCTTTCTGGCAGAGGAAGATATTCATAAGACAGCATTTAGGTGTGCAGGAGCATTAGGCATTTACGAGTGGACGGTTATGCCTTTTGGCTTGAAGAATGCTGGGGCGACTTATCAGAGGGCAATGAATGCAATTTTTCATGATCTCATTGGTAAGTCTATGGAAGTCTACATTGATGATGTTATTGTCAAGTCTTCCAGTTTTGAGGAACATTTGAGGGACCTCAAGGATGCTTTCAGTCGGATGAAGAAATACAAATTGAAAATGAACCCGACTAAGTGTGCTTTCAGCATATCATCTGGGAGTTTCTTGGGGTTCTTGGTTCATGAAAGGGGCATTGAAATTGATGCTAACAAGGCTAAGGCAATCCTTACTAGCCGACCGCCTCAGACGGTTAAAGAAATTCAAAGTCTGTTGGGAAAAGTAAATTATCTCAGGCGGTTCATTTCCAATGCAGCTGGCAAGGTCAGGCCAATCACTAAATTATTGAAGGTAGGAGGAAGCCCCTTTGAGTGGGGACCAGACCAACAGATGGCGCTGGAAGCCATAAAGCAAGCATTAACTCAACCACCTGTGTTGATGCCTCCCAAGGAAGGTCGGCCCCTCAAACTTTATTTGGCGAATACCTATGAAGTGGTCAGTTGCTTATTAGCTCAAGATGGAGACGATGGAAAGGAAAGGACAATTTATTATTTGAGCAAAACTCTCACAGGACCAGAATTAAATTATACAATGCCAGAAAAGATGTGTTATTCATTGGTGTTTGCATGCACCAAACTTGAACATTATATGCTGCCAAGAAGAGTTGAGGTTATTTCAAAGGTTGATCTCATCAAGTTGATTTTGCAAAGACCTACAATGCAGGGGAGACTCATGAAGTGGGCCATTAAATTAGCTCCCTTCTATTTGTATCATTCTCTCTTGAGGGCGGTCAAAGGCCAAGCAGTGGCAGATTTCTTGGCAGACTTCACAGGTTGTGAAGAACAACCGACCGGGTGTATATCTTATGTAAGCACCCGAAATTGGTTAATATTTTTTGATGGTTCTACCTCAGCAAACAGATCTGGTGCAGGCGTCCTGTTGGAAGGACCAGACGGCCAAAGGGTCAATTTGCAGCTTCAATTGGAAGATATGACCCATAATTCAGCAGAATATGAAGCTTTGATCTTGGGATTGGAAGCATTGATAGCCAAAAAAATTCAGTCGGTTATTATAAAAGGGGACTCTCAATTGGTGATTAACCAGGTAAACAAAAAGTATGTTTGCAATTATCCTCACCTTCGGAGGTACAGGGATTTGGTAGGTCGGTTACTATCAAAAATCTCCGAAGTGATAATAGAGTTCGTCCCTATAAAGGAGAATCAATTTGCAGATGATTTAGCTCAGAAAGCTTGCAAGGGAATTCTAAAGGATATGTGCGCAGAGGTCGGTCCTGAGTTTGAAAAAGGAACCGACCGGGAGACTGAAACAGCAACCGACTGGAAGATAGAAGCAGGAACCGACTGGAGGACAGAGTTTTGTCATGTATTTACAAGATCCAGGAGCAAATGTACCAATTGGAATTCGCTTGAAAGCTTTACGATTCCAATTGGTAGAAAGAGTGTTATATAAGAGGACATTCGAAGGATTGCTTTTGAAATGTTTGGGTCCTGAGCAGGCGTTGGAGGTGATGACAGAAGTGCACAGTGGAATATGTGGAGCTCATCGAGCAGGTCTGAACATGAGATGGGCTATTCATCGCTTAGGTTTCTTTTGGCCAAAGATTTATGAGGACTGCATACAATTTGCCAAGGGTTGCCAAGAATGTCAGAGGCATGAGCAACTAATTCATTTGCTAGTAACAGAATTGCAAGCGATGGTGAAACCATGGCCTTTTAAATCTTGGGCTATGAATATCATTGGTAAAATTCATCCTCCCTTATCCAAGAATCATTGTTTTATTTTAGTTGCAACAGACTATTTCACCAAATGGGTGGAGGCGGTTGCTTTAAAGAATATGGATAAGAAGGAGATGATTGATTTTATGTTGAATCAGATCATATATAGGTATGGAATTCCTCATTCGTTAACAACCGACCAAGGATTGGTCTTTACTGGGGAGAAGTTGTTAAGCTTCTTGGCAGAGTTTGGCATTCGTCTAAGTCATTCTTCGCCTTATTATCCCCAAGCTAATGGGCAAGCAGAAGCGGCTAACAAGATTATCATTGGGATCATCGAGAAAACGATTGAAGGAAATCCAAGGAAATGGCATTTGTTGTTATCTCGAGCCCTATGGGCACATAGGAACAACAGAAGTTCTGTCACAGGATTTTCACCATATCAACTCACTTTTGGACAAGATGTTGTGTTGCCAGCCGAAGTGCAGGTCTCATATGGACGCACAAGCCTTACCAATGATAAGTTTACTGAGGAATATCAACAAATGATGTTGCAACAATTGGAGAGTCTGGATGTCAACCGACTTCATGCAATTGATCAGATTGTGAAGCAAAATGAGATCAGGGCCAAGACTTATGGAAAGAAAAAATTTTACAGAACATTCAAAGAAGGAGACCTGGTCTGGAAGACTATTCTTCCAACTTATAAGAAGGTTGACCAATTAGGAAAGTGGTCTCCAAATTGGGAGGGACCATTTATAATCCAAAAGGAAAATGGAAATGGTGCCTTTATTATCATAAATCAATAAGGTAAAAGGGTACATGACTGTATTAATGCTAGATATTTGAATATGTATTTTTCTGCCTTTTCAGACTACAAGAAAGCATGAAACAGTAAGTTTTCATAACCCATTTGCCAAGGGTTCGAACCTAACAAGGGTTCATTCATTGTCAAATGTTGATTCGTGCAGAGGATTATCTTCTTCTGAGTCAGAGGCTTCATTCCAACGATTAGGGATTAGTTCTGGCTCTTCATCAATAAGGTCTTCTAAGTTGGGCCGATACTTTTCCCACTGATCTTGCATTTTCTCAAGATCATAGTCGGTCCGAGCTTTCATGTCTGTCAGGGCTTGGCGTTCACGATCAACAAGAGTACGTAATCTTGAAAAGACTGCATGTTGGTTGGAGAAGGTTTGACCCCAAACAAGGTCTGGAAGTATGGCGGTCACATGGTGTTCAATCAAATCCATGTGATGATCAATGTCGGGAAAACGACTTTGAATATCCCAAAGGGTCTCATATCCCTCTACCACGTTTTCCATCAGGTGAATGACACAGTGGATGGTCTTTCGGCCTCGTTTGGAAAACCTGAATTTGTAATCCAGCTGTTGGAAGATGTATAGTAGGTCTTCAGCGTGACCTCCAACTAGATGATTACCCACGAAGAAGGGTTGAATGACGCCTTGCCAATTGTTTGCAGGAACATGGGGATAATGAGATGGCATTTTAATGCTTGTGAACAGACGTGTTCAAAGTTGAGTTGTTTGATGATTTGCAAGAGCAGCAAATATTTATAAGGAGATGATTTGTTCGGTTCCTGAAGAGTGGGAGTCTTGGAAGGTGATCCTTAATAAAAGGAGAAAATTTTGTTTGCCAAGTCAAAGAATTACAAAAGGGATCTTAATACAAGTTTTATTTGAGACCATTTGTCTTCTGTTCTAGAGCGCCGTCTATTATTAGCAGCCGACTGGTACTACTTTATGAATTGGGATCGGGCGTGAATCTTTAGCTCCTGGTCCAGGTCGGCTGCATTACTTTGGTACCAATAAATCAGACGTTGCTCATCGTTGATATGTCCTTCCAGAACAGACCTTTCTTGACGGAGCGTCTTCAGCTCTGCTTCTATTTGCTGGATTGACCCCTCGATTTGTGCCTTGACGTTATTCAGGCTTTCTAGTCGGCCAATTGCTTGTTGAATGGATTCCTTGGTTTCAATCAAGGAGGCCTCCAAACTTATTTGTTCCAGGTCGGGCAAGGGGGTCTCAGCCGTCAAAAGTTGGGCGAACAGAACTTCATTTCTGAGATTGGACAGTCGCTCCATTAATTGGTGAAGAATAGGGGCAGCAGCCGACTTTGAAGACATTTGGAACAAGAGACCACCAACAGCTTGAAGAAGGCTGTCAAGCAAGTCTGACCCCAGGTCGGGGAAAGATTGGTCAACAGCATGTGCAATTACAGTTCGAACATCCATCGGAATAGGGACCGCCGAAAAACGGGCTAGGTCAGAACATCCCTGAAATAAAAGATGTTTATCTCAGACTGAATGAAAAATGAGTATTGAAAATTGATTGTGAGAGGTTGCATATACCTCTGGACGGATGGTGGTTGTTGAAGGCGCCAAAATAACCCTAAGTCTGGAGGGTCGGGCAGCTGGTATTTCGATAGCTGATTCGTCGGCTACTTCGAGTGGATGCTGAGGTACGGATCTAGGTCTCTGAATGGTGGAAATATAATGTGTCAAAGGTCATGCTAGCTTGTATTTTGGTACATTGGAGGAAGAAATTTTAAGTGTTTACCAGGTTGACAGAGGTCTCTGAGTCAGATGAGGGAATTTCTGGTAATTCCTGTAAGAGACCTCTTGGCGGTACTGGTGCAGGTTCATTTTCTCGCCTATCTGCTTCTGGAAGAGGGTCTGCTGCCCCTGGGTCGGCAACCTCCAAGTCGGCCGCCCTTGGGTCGGCAACCTCCAAGTCGGCCACTATTGGGTTCGGCAACCTCCAGGTCTGCTACCCCCTGGGTCGGCAACCTCCAAGTTGGTCGCTGCTGGGTCGGCAGCCTCCAAGTCGGTTGCCCCTGGGTCAGCAACCTCCAAGTCGGTCGCAAGTTGGTTTGATGTGTCTGGGACGATTGCATTAGAGGCAGCAGAAGCAACATGAGGTAACCTGCCCATTTCTGAAGTAGTTGCCTCACTAGGAGATGAGACCCTTGTTGTTGCCTGTTCAGCGGCTGAGGGTATTTTATTCAAAGCCCGGCGCTTGGTCGGAGGCTCAGGTTCTGACAGTCGGTCCGTTGGTGGTTGTGCCGCTTTAGTTGGTCGAGAAGCAGGTTGGGCGGTCGCCCGAGCCGAAGCCACACCTGAGTATAAAATAAGGATTAATATCATGCTAAGAAAGGATCAAGGTAAATTGAAGGCATGAGGTTATACCCGGATGAGGTCGGGACTTCATAGGGGGCCGACCTGATGGGTGCTTTGTTGGGGACGGTTGACTGTCCCCGGAAGGGGGAATAGATTGAGTCTGAGGGGCTTTTCTCTTCCTCTGTGGAGTACCCGACTCATCGCCCTGAGTAATCAGGTTCCTTCGGGTGTTAGTCAGAGGGGTTGTCCCTAATGTAATTGCAGGTGGGGGAAGAAGTATGCCCATCCTTGTCAGGGGCAATCAAGGCCCAAGTAACCGACCACCACTCCCAGAAAGACTCAACAGAGGTTGGAGAAGATTTGTAAGGGATGTAAGAATTAGAGGTGATGTAATTTGTAAGTTGTGATATATATGGGGCAATTGCATCAAGAATAACTCTCACATCCGGACTTTGAATTATTAGATGGGGATGAGCAATGGGACCAGGTAGGCCTTGTTGGCAGCCGAATTGGCGTGCCATAAATTGAGGTTGGTAGTTGAAGGTATAAAATATTTTGGGGCCCTTTTTATCGATTTTCTTACTGGTGAATAAAGACCTGGGTTTAAGGGCGACATCCCAGGAGAAACGGTAAGTCGGATGTGGAAGTGGATTTGGTTGGGACAAAGGCGAAGGAACAGAGAATGGCCAAAACAGACCGGAAGCATAACCAATATACTTTTTGTGTATGTAAAAATTGTTGTCATTTCGATTATCAGTAAGAACGGCTGTTATGATTGGATCAGAAGCCTGGAGGTTATTACAGCCTAAGCAAAGTCGGTTAAGAGCTACTCCTAGGGATTTCTCAAGTGTGGGAGCAACAGGAGAATGGCCAAGTTGGAAGGCGTCGGGAAAATAGAGACGGAACCATAGTTCCAAGAACCAAAAAGAACCCGACGCAGCAATGTCTAATTTTTTACCGTCTTTTTCAGTAAGGCGAACACTAACTCTAGATAATCCTTCAAAGAGATTGGCAAGGAAAAGGATGCCCAACGAAAAGAACCGACCCGAGGCTATGTGTATAGCAAGATCAAGATGAGAAGGCAAGACACATTTCAAATGAGAGACTACAACATACTTACAGAGCCAAAAGAGCAGAAAAGCGGTGTGCTCTCGATCGGTTACAGGGGTCCCGTCAGCTCCTTGTTGGTCATTTAGAAATTTAGTCCAGCCCCATTTTCTCACATCTGTCAGAGACCAACCCAAGTGGTCTGTGTTGGGCCCTTGTCCATTTAGGGCACCCATTACAGGGTCTTCCCCAACGATGGGCAGATGAGCGATCATGGCTACGTCCATGAGGGTGGGGCCGATGGGGGCTGTTAGAAGAAGGAAGGTGCAAACCTCAGAGTGCCAAAACGCTGTCATGGCTAGGAGGACTTTCTCATGTAAATGGCACGGGAGCGTTGACAGACGTATGGCTTCATCGATGTGTTGAGTTTTCCATTGCTCCTGGTAATGTTCTACTATTCTCTGGTACCAGGTACGGTAAGGATCCTTGGGATCCATCATGTGTGTTTTGATGTTGTCATGAAGACGAGTCGCGTTGTAGTTGGGGCTGTTGATCGCCAGCAGATTCCTTGCCTCCAAGACTTCCCTCATACGATTGGAGTCTTCAGCAGTTGTGCAGTATGGACGAACAGTTGGGGTGCGCATTTTCGTCGCCACAAGAGTGGTTTCAAGGACTGATCCATCGACAGGGAGTGCAGGGATGTATCGATTCGCCATGTCTAGGGTTGTAGAGATTATGATTCACAAAGACTCATATTGAAGGAAGGGAAGTTAATCAGGAGTGTTGTAATTGGTGCAGTTGCTTAGGGACCTTCTCAGGAGGGTTGTGATTTATGAACTTCCAAACGACGATTGATAAATGGCGTTTGAAAGTCCCTTGGCGGTGGGCAAGTTGTTACGTATGAAATTTAGAATTAGGTTAAAAAGGCCAAGGTAAAAGAAAAAATGGGCCTGGTAATAGAGTTGATCGAACTGGCTAAAGGGCCGTGGGGAACTCAAGGAAAATAGATTAATTTCTAAGGAGAATGTAGGGCGGAAGGGCCTCAGGTCGGAAAGTCCTCAGGTCGGGAAGTCTTCAGGTCGGAAAGTCTTCAGGTCGGGAAGTCTTTAGGTCGGGAGATCCTCAAGTCGGGAAGTCCGCAGGTCGGAAAGTCCTCAGGTCGGGAAGTCTTCAGATCGGGAGGTCCTCAGGTCGGGAGGTCAGGTTGGGAGATCCTCAGATCGGGAAGTCCTCAGGACGAAAGGTCCTCAGGTCGGGAGGTCTGCGACTAGACCAGTAAGTCGGATGGTCTTTAGGTTGGGAGGTCTGCGACTTAACCAATAAGTCGGATGGTCCTTAAGTCGGGAGGTCTGCGACTTGACCAGTAAGTCGGATGATCTTTAGGTCGGGAGGTCTGCAACTGGATCAACAAGTCGGGTGGCCCGCAAGTCGGAAATATTGGTAGTCGGGCCAATAAGGTGGAAGAGTAGTGATCGGACCAAAAGGGCGGAAGGTCTACGGTCGGTCCAAAGAGGCGGATGCTGCTAAGAATGGAATAGAGTGATAATGGTGGTTTGCTGAGGACACGTGTTAGCAGGAGAAGGGTTGGCAGACGGTTGAAAGGGAGACGTTGTAACCGTTCAGGTGACGGTTTCCAGTACAATTTCTCAGGAAGTATTTAAGAATTTGGATTTTTCTTGAGAAGGCATCTTCAATCAACTTCAACAAAGCAAAGTCAGATTTGGGGATTACCACTTTAAATTTTCAGCATTTTATTTTTCAGTTAATTTTTTATGTACCGAACAGTCCTAATCTCAGACACTAATTAATCAAGTTTAAAGATATTTTCCATATCTTTGAATTACATTTTGTTTGTTGAAAAAATACATCAACAAATACAAATAAAAACTATCTAAAGAATGAAGAAAAAGATTAATGTATAGAAGATTACTTTCTTTGCTGCTCATAAACTATTTGTGCAGCAGATTTGGCAACAATCTCTTGCTTTGGCTTCGGCACAATAGCAGGAACGTTCTTTTACCTCTCCATCAACATCAATTTCCTGCTTTGGCTTCCAGATATCCCCAATTTCCTTAGGTTTTACCTCAGCTTTGTAATCTGCCTCAAATGGCGGAGACACGGCCTCACATTGTGATACAGTCAAGAACAAGTAATGAATCAGGGGTGTTTTGTTCATTTCAATTCTCATTGTAAAATTATATAAATAATTCGAAAGCTTACATCTCATACGAATGAGCCCCAAATTCTGAATGGCGCTGGAGATCAATTTTGGAAGTTAGAAAATAAATTAGGTTTTGGTTAGAAAATAAAAAAGCTAGAATTTTTTTTATTAGAAATCGAACCTGTTGCGTGAGCGCTTCGGCAGTCGTGTAGGCGGTGGGGGTGTTCGTTCGGCGGCGGAAGTGGCTGGGGCAGGCGGTCGGTCGGTCGTGTAGGCGGCGGGGGCGGTCGGTTGGCAGTCGTGTAGGCGGCGGGGCGGTCGGTCGGTGGTGGAAGTGGCTGGGGCGGTTGGTTAGGCGGTCGGTCGGTCATTTGGGGATGATTTGGGTATGCTTTAGTGTTAACTAAAAAGAGCAGTCCGTCAAGGCGTCGGGGGCAGAGGATCTGGAGCGGCTGCGGCGGAGGCGGGAGAAGTCGGCCGATAGCAATTTTAGGGGAAATTCTAGTTTAGCAAAATGAAAGTTTACGCGAAGGGGAAGGAAGAGGAGGAGGGGTTATTTTGCAATTTTATTAAAATTATTAATTTTTTTATCTAAAAAAGAAATAATAATAATACACTCCACGTGCAGGCTGTAATCGCTTAGACGGAATAGACATGTAACTTTGTCGACTGAGGATCCGCTCTCCCATCCATCGTACAAATTCGGTCATTCATTTTCTTTTTGCTTCGAAATATTTAAATGCTCCTGCTGGTTTTTATGGATAATTAATACGGCCGTCATTCTATTAATAATTATTGTATACGGATTTTTGCATTAATTAATACAAAATTAACATTTATTAAAAATTACACAATAAATATTTAATAAAATAAAATATATTATTTATTAAAAAATATTTATTATGCCATTATTAAATGTTTAAATTATATTTTTTATAATATTTAATTTAACTAAAATTAAATATTTAAATAACACGTAAATAATACCTAAAAATATAATTTAAGACACACATCAATTAATTTAATTTATACAACAAAATAATTACAAAATATATTTAAAAATTGATAAATTAATATTTTACACACAAAATACAATAAATACAATTATTGAATTAAATTAATATAAACTATATCAAAACTCGATATAATAAATAATTAATTAAATAAAAATAAATTATAAAATATGTCAAAATCAAGAGTTATCAGTAACCGACTTTCCGTTTATGGTTGTCTTCTGTCCTTCTCATCTGAAGTCAACCGACTCCCCAGTGTTAGCTTTCTAAAATATATTTATATAATTTATTTTCTTTATTTCTCTCACCATTCTATCCAATCAATTCGGTCTACCACTTCTTTCATTATTTTCTTTTTTTCTCTCATCCGACCAATTCGATTAGACACTTTTTTTTTCTTTTAATTCTCTCTTCTCTCATTCTCTCATTCGGTCAACACTTCTTTTTCATTTTTTTTTCTCATTTTCTCCCTAAAATATATTTATATAATTTATTTTCTTTGTTTCTTTCATCCTCGTATTAATTCGGTCTGCCATTTCTTTCTTTATTTTCTTTTTTTCTCTCATCCTTCCATCCGACCAATTCGATCTGCCATTTTTTTTTTATTTTCTTTATTCCTCTCATCCTTTCATCCGACCAATTTGGTCTGCCACTTCTCGTAGAGAATTATTTTTCTAATAATACATAAAAAAAACTAAAAAAAAAAGTATGATATGTAAAAGTATTTTGAAAAAAAAAATTAGATTTTATAAAATTTGTTGATTGCATAGTTATAAAAAAAATTATCTATATAATTCATTTTCTTTATTTTCCTCTTTTTCCCTCCACCAATCTGGTCAGTCACTTCTTTTTTGTTTCAAAATATCTATATTCATATTATTTATTTTTTTAAATTTATATATTCATATTTATATAATATAATTTTTAAAATTTAATTAAAAATTTAAAATATATTAATATTTATTATTTTATAAAAATTAATTTAACTTATACAACAGATAAATATAAAAAAAAAATCATAAAAGAAAATTGTGCGGTGTGCGCACGTACGAACACTAATATATATATATATACACACGAGTTTAAGCTCATACGAGTCCAATCCAATCCAATGAATTCTTTAATAGTAAATGAGATCACAATACATATTAAGTAAAAAAAGAGATAACAATACTTAAGTGGAAAAAGTTTGTTTGCTCCTCTTATGTGGTATAAGTTTCACAAAATCTTTTATTTTTCCTCTTTCATTGTACACATTAAGTGTAATACTCAAATTTCAAAGTATATAAAATAATATTTTTATAACAAATAAATATTTTTATAATATTTTTAAAATTTAAAAATTAATTGTACACATTAAGTATAATACCCCAATTTCAAAATGTATAAAATAATATTTTTATAGCAAATAAATATTTTTATAATATTTTGAAATTAAAAAATTAATATTTTAAAATAAATTATATTTATATTTTGTACGTCGGTTATAATTGAAAAAAACTGTTAAAAAAATAAATATCAATAAAGATAAAAAGAATATCATATATAATTTAATAATATAATATAATAAATAGATAAAGATGTGATTAAAATAATATTTATAATAATAATAATAATAATAATAATAATAATAGTAATATAAATATAAATATATATACTAAGAAAGAAACAAATAAATCTTACCTGTGAAGGAAAGCATAATAAAAAACGTAGGGAAAAAACAAAAGAAAAAAGAAGTGGAATAAGAAAAAGATTTAATCGTCTGATTTTAATTTTGATATTGGTATTGTCTTTTTTACTCTACATAGAGTTTAATTATAAATTTTAATATAAATTTAGATATTAGAGATATTAAACTAAAAATTCTTCGAAAATTCATAACAAACTATTTGACTATTTAATCGACAAATTTCTTTAGCTAATAGCTTATTCATAGTCCTAGCGTTATATTCTCAAAATTTTGAATCGATCCAAGCCGAATCGAAAATGACAGTCTATTGCACATGCATCTTCATTCATATCTTTAAGTATTTTGATTTAATAATCAAACGATATAAATATTATAAGATATAAGAGTTTTATAGCTAGAATATCGTATTATACTAAATATAAAAGTTTGAAGCCTAATGAACTAATTATAGAAATTAGCTTTTGAATAACCAGGTAGCTCATATGTAAAAGAATATTGCTAATCTGATTTGAGCAAATAATGAGGTAGGAGTACGTTGGAGGTGATCTGGGTAAGATTGCAAAAGTCATGGAGTATCGATAAGAGGTAAGTAATAGGAAATTAAATATAATTTTAAAAAATTATGTATGCATGTTGCATTTGATTATAAATAATAATGTTAATGTGCTAATATCTTGATCATTTTGTTAGTGCATATATAAATATATATATATGTGTGTGCGCGCGTATGAATGTGTGAGACATCGCATTTTATGATATTTGATATACGTATTTGATCGCGTTGGTGAATTTATGGAAAGAATGATAGGTGAGCTGTCTTACTAGCCATTTTCTGTAAATTCAGTTATTTGACATGCTGCAAACATATTGCACAGTCTATCGGATATGTTTTACGGATCTATCGTTTAGTCGTCGTGTGCGGTAGTGCTAAACGAGGGCATCATCTAGGGTTACAGTATTTGACCCCGATGTACCGTAACACTTTAACGATGTGGACAATAGTAGTCGGACAACTGGATGACTTAGTCGAATGGTCATTCAGGGATTAAACCCATTGTAGTTGAGACATATTTTTTGTCTAATTATTCGTGTTAGGTGTTGTTCCACTCATTGGATTGGCCACTGGTGAGGTCTACCGGTAGTTTAGGATAATATACTAAACTCCAAATGTGATCCCGTGAGGTCGCGCTATGAGAAATAGAATTTCCGAGTTTCCCTTGGGTGATTCCAGGTTGCACAGATTCTACTACATTACACAGGGTAAGGCTAGACATAGGGGTCCTATCTTTGCTACCACAGACTATGGGGCGTCTTGTGGTTAATAGCAACAATGTTCGACTATCCATGTATTGATGGTGGGAGTCGTACGGTGGGTATATTGAAGTGACCGGATGACCTTTATATTAGTATAGGTTTATCAAGTCCTTTCTTGAGCTGAAAATTTTCCATCCTATTTATTTGATGATGGACTAGTGAGCCAATTATTATGGAGCCGAGGTTATTCTGGCTGCTCACTTCGATGGATGTATATATATGTACATGTGCATGATTGTCGAGTTTGATATCTTTGTTGCATCATTTTACTATTGCTATTGCATGGCATGACACGTATTTTATGAATGACGAAGATTAGACTTTATTTTAAAAGGTATGACATGACATATTTCATATTAGTTCTTAAAATGGATTAAATTCCAAACTGCTTTTAAGAAAAATATTTGGTTTAGATATGCATGGCACCTCCGGGACATGGGACGTCTCGGGATATAGAAAAACGGGCTGAGTGAGTGAACTTACATATGTTGTATTATATGTTAATTTTTAACCGGAAAAAATCATTTGTTTAGGAGTGTGTTTTTGTGAATATTCATAAAATAGACTGTGCTATATAACAATGTGCTTTTATAGTTAATCTTAGCCTTAACACTATATTGTGGGGCCCGAAGTAGGAGGTGACGGCCTCATGATGCAGTGTGACGGTAGCATTTCCAATATGAGCCAACTGTAGGTGTTACAAGTCGGTATCAGAGCATAGGTTTGATAGATTTTGGCTCTTTGGATTAAATTTTTTTTGAAAATAATAATGATACTGAATTGGTTTTGTGAGGTTTGGGTTTTGTGGGTGCATTCATTACTCTCGAAATACCCATTTAATCCAACAATCGAAAATTAGATACTACTTTGCGAGAATATCTACCCCTGCCGAAGTCGACGGAGGAGCCACCGGAGAAAAATTCTCCCCCACCGCCGCCGAAACTGTCGCTAGAGGAGTCTCCGGAGTTTCCGGAGCCACCGTTGGAACAATCGCCGGAGCCGCCGCCAGATCCGTCGCCGGAGCCACCGCCCTATGTTTTTTGAATTTGCCCCAGGGGGATGTGGGGGCTTTCCTGGGTTTGTGGTCGCACCCTCTGTTTCATTCGAACTGTTGGTCCTGAGCTTGGCCCATGGATAATACTCCATGTATAAGTTCCACAACCATTCACTGGAGTAGACTTTAAGAGGTGGCAGGAGAAGATGTTCTTCTACTTGAATGTGATTGCGCTTTCCATGTTTGTGGTACACGATGACCCAATTAACCTAGAGCCCGGTGCGGACCAGCAGACATATGTGAATTATGCATCGTGGGCACGTAGAGACTACATGACAAGAAATACCATTAGGTAGTCTCTCTAACTCTCTTTATAATGTATATTGTAAAATAAAGACTGCGAAAGGGTTGTGGGATGCCTTTGAGAAAAAAATATAAGTCCGAGAATGCCGGGTCTAAAATGTTTGTTGTGGCCCGGTTTATGAACTATAAGATGGTAAATAACAAGTCTTTCGTCGAACAAGTAGAAGAATTTCAACACATTGTTCACTCTGTTATCGACGATGAGATGCGACT